ATCTCCCCTGAAGATCTGCCGAGGCAAGGTATGGGGAGGGAGGTCCTGTGTTGCAGCAACAGACTATTTTAGTGAAAGATGGGAGGGGGTCCTGGTTACTTAGTCCTTCCTTGGAGATATGGGACTTCTGGTTCCAGGAATCCAAGCCCTGGATTGGAGGCACATCCGTGGTCTTTTCTTCTATCTTCTGCTTGCTCCAGCTCTCGCAGAAGGGTGGGGAGAGGGGTTGTTGAGAGAGCGTGCAGGCCAGCGTGCTGTGTATATTTCAGCGGAGCTGCTGGATGCGGTGAGCCAAGCTGCTCAGAAGTACCAGGCACTGTATATGGGGACCCTGCCAGTCACCAAAGCCATGGGTGAGGACTGAGTGGGCTGGAGGGAGTGGTGGGCTGCTAAGGCAAGGGGAAGGCGGGTGAGGTGGGATCTGCCAGTTTCTCAGCGTGCTTCCGTGGCCCTGTATGGCCTGGATGTACCACCTTTCCCAACTCAGGATTCTAAGCCCAGCTCCAGGTGTTCTCTTCTCATCTCCCTGAATTCCAAGACAGTGAGAGGGGCCTAGACACTCCATGCAGATTCCTTCCTTCCTTATGTCTGGGAGACACCATCGTGGGTATGTCCCTCCAGGAATGGATGTGCTGAACGAGGCCATTGGTATCCTCACCACCCGAGGGGACCGGGAGGCCTGGGTCCCCGCCACGCTCAGTGTGTCTGACTCTCTCATGACTGCACATCCCATTCAGGTACCAGAAGGTGAAGCTGGGGGCTGTGGAGGGGTGGGCAGGGATGCTGGGTATCACTGCTTGCTCTAGGAAAGAGCTCAGTGGGCCCACCTGTGCCGAGCCCTCTAGTGACGAGGCCTGGTGTGGGCAGGCAGAGGCTGATGCAGAGGAGGAGCCGCTGTGGCAGTGCCCTGTGCGCCTTGTGACCTTTATTGGTGTCGGCCGCGACCCACACACCTTTGGCCTCATTGCTGACCTGGGCCGTCAGAGCTTCCAGTGCGCAGCCTTCTGGTGCCAGCCCCATGCAGGGGGACTCTCCGAAGCTGTGCAGGCTGCTTGCATGGTGAGTGAGGGGTGGGATGGTGGGTGGGGTGGCCCTGCAGCTGCTTTGTACTGGTGACTGGGGCTCAGGATTTCCAGAACCACAAACCAGTGATACCAGGGTTGACCATGGTTCTTAGTATTTTATTTGGCCCTCATGCTCTTCTGAATCAGTTTTAATGAGGTGCCAGGACATTTCACACAATGATTGCTATTCCTGTTTTTCTTAAACTGTCAGAATCATGCATACATTTCAACATTGGGCTGGAATTGTGTAGGGGCTGTGCCCTATCAGTTGGCATTGTCTTTCCTTTTTTTTTTTCATTTAGGTTATTTCCTGGTATCTGTGGGCATTTAAATATGGAATGTTCTCACTCTTCAGTTTACTCACTCACTCAACAAATATATGAATGCCTGCAGGGACCGTACCTGACCCTGGGAATTCAGTGGTATAGAGGGCACGGCCTTAGGTTAAAGCAGAGACAGACCAGAAAGAAGTTGTACACTACAGGATAATGGAGGAGAAGGTCCGTTCAGGGGTTCAAGAAGTCTACCTGTAAGAGGTGATAGGAAGTGGAGAGCTGAAGGTCCAAGGAAGAAGTTAGCTACGTGAGGAGGAGTAGGACAGAAGGTGTGCCAGGTACAGGGAACTCCAGCTGTGAAGGTGAGAGATGTTAGTGTATCTGAGAGACTAGTGCATCTGGAGTGCTAGTGGGATGGAGTGACCGATGGGGGCAGAAAAAATGGCAGAAACCAGGTCATGGAAGAACTTATAGGTCAAGGGGATGAGTTCATTTTGCCCAGAGGCATTCTGAGCCATTAAAAAGTTTTGAGCAGGACAGTGAAATCAGGTTTGTAGATTAGGAAGACTGCTTAAGCTATAGTGTAGGTAAAAGATTTGGAAGACACAAGAAGTAGGAAGACCATTGAGGACCCTGCTGAATTCAAATGAGAGAAGATTGGGGCAGTTGCATGGGGAATGGAGTTTGAGTGGAAGACCTCCTTGACTAGGGAATCCACTCTGCTAGGGGCTAGTCCGAGAGAGAGAGAGAGAGAGAGAGAGAGAGAGAGAGAGCGAGCATAGTGGTAAGGTGACAACATAGTGGTAAGGTGTGGTTAGGAGCACAGGTCTGCAGTCAGACAGACTAGGTTTGAATCTCAATTCTACCATTTTTTGGCTAGGTGACCTCGGGAAGTCATGCATTCTTTCTAAATCTCAATTTCCTCATTTGTAAAAGGAGGATAATAACACCTGATAAATAATTGGATTGTTACATTATACAAAGCATTTAGCACAGTGTCCAGCCCCTCTTAAATGCTCAGTAAATGTCAAGTGTTATGTTTTTGTTCTTGAGCTACCTGGGAATGCTGTAGATGTGGTGGACTACGAGCCTCATATCAAACTGAAACCTTGGACAGTCCCTTGCCCTGACAGACCCGCTCAGGGAGTCCGAGGCAGACAGGGAGCTGGATCC